GCAGCAATAACACAAAGCTACAGATTAGTTGTTACCTAATGGTGGTGGTGGTGGAGGAATGATTTCATCACCAAGAGACAATGCTTGATGCTTGAAGGCAACTGTATCTTGTGAAGGAATAAAATGTTTTTCTTTGTGATTTGCAGACCCAGGCTCATCATGTTTCAGGGACTGGAGAAGATATACAAAAGATGCCAGCTTAGCAGCTAAGGTACATATGCTAAGAAGAAGAGCAAGTTGTCCACAATCCACATCCACAAAACAGTTTGGAACAAATATTATATAAGCCTATGCAGCCTTAAACAAATATTATATTACATATGGTGGTATGCTACATCTTAATATTAAATTTTCAATATTCTAAACTATGATTGGCTAATAATTTGTGAGCGTGCATCCAAGGCCTAGTAAATTAAGTAGAGTATGTCATAAAGCTGTAAAAGTATTCAAAATTGTCAAGGCGAAGAAGGAAGGGGAAAAGGTACAAGTAATGAGATCTTCTGATCCATTCAATTCATATCAAATAAGATCAACAAAAAAGAAGAGGGAGCAGTAGCATACAGGTTCAATCGTTGAACTTGACAACTTCCTGTCAAAGTTTGATGCAGTTCCAGTCGTAAAGGATTTCAATTCCAGAGTTGGTGTGTGTTCTAGAGTGCTATTCTACAAACATTTGATAACCAAATTGTAAAGCATAAGTAAAAAATTAATACACCCCACAAAAGAGGAAGAAAATAATAATAATGATAATAATAATAAGAAGAACAAAAACTAGTACATGAACCAGATGCAGAAAGAAATTGATAGAGCCTACCTTCTCATCAGGTAAGCTGACTTTCTTATTAAAACTGATGGTATCCTTTTTATTTTGCAGCTTTTGCCTCCTTGAACTTACTCGGAGAGGGAATGGTCCTTTACTAGGAGTTGATGAAATCATGAAACTGCCACACGTTGATCCCTTTTGAGAGTGGATATGATCTTCATTCATTGTGTTGCATCCCCATGTGTACATTACATATTTTCTCAACTGGTTAGACATTAATGGTTAGTTGGTTCAAGCACAGTGGAAATAAAATCTCAATACACACACAAATATATACAAGTATGAATGACACCGTATATAGATGAGAATAAAATTACTTTATCCCAGCGTTCCTGAGCTTTTCTTCGATTTCTGATCCCCCGTAAAATGCTATCTTCATTGCGAAGTTTTTTTATTCTGTACTCAAACTACAAACCAAGCAAGTCAGAAAAATCTAGGATGAATTATATCAAGAATTTCTTCCCCCACCCCTTCACTTCCCCTCAAGTCTAATCCATCTTTCATCACTGTTATACATTTAACAGCCCCTGATTAGCTTTTCATTAGCTATTTCCAATGAAGAGAAAATCTTGCATGATATTTTCAAGATTATTTCTTTTACTAGGACCCTGGATCTAGTGTTTAACAAAAATGAAAACATATTTCATCATTTTCAGACATATACTGGTGTATTGACATTATTTCTCTATTCAAAATTTATCAATGAAACTGTGGGACATGGGAAGCAGGAGAATATGAGCTGCAAGAGGGGCTGGAATCATACTTGCACCAAGAGGTAGAGAAAGATCCCAACACAGATGCAATATAGGCCACCAAGATCTGCTAGAAAGCTCACTGCAAGTTTAAGAAAAGAATATTTGAAAATATATATATATATATATATATCAGGGTAGATAGCATAAAAAATCAGAATGGACCATAATTATGATAGAATTTAACCTAGTTGAGCAAATTAGAACAGTGAAAAGTAAAAGGAGAAGAAAAATTTTGATACTTGTGCCCAGAGAATAGAATAACAGCTTTTTTCAGTTTGGGCTCAGATCAAGTATGATAATTGCCCAAATCTGTTGCCCAAATCTGTTGCCCAACCCTTGTATTACATTAATAAAAAAAACCAGAAACATGAAAGACTTTTGAGGAAAGAGAAAAGCCATGGTATTTGGATTGATGTTAAGCACAAAACATGGCATCAAAAGCAAGAAACAGTGCAGGCAAAAGATGTAGTAAATGGATCTGGTTTTATAGAGAAGCCAGATGATGCAGCCATGAAGAACACAATCAATTGTTATTTCTTGAGTAAACTTTTAGCAACTTGGGATCTTTGTGATTTCAGGTCTTATAAAATTTAATTCTTTTTATTGGAATAAATGACAAAAAGTGCACCACATTATCATGATAACAATTCAGGCTTTAACTCAACACAACTAATAGTAAAATTACAAATCAATCAATCATAATGATTGCAAAATAACAAAATAAGAAAAGGGAGGAAAACTCACATTAGAGATTTGAGTCTAGGATATAATGATACCAAGGCCTCCATATTACCATTAAGCCAAGGCTTTATAGGTTCTCTTGGAGTCCTAATTTGTTATTGATTATTTAGTTTCTACTATTTTGGAATTCTAATCCTAGTGGATTCTAACAGTCCCTTTACACTGAATTTTGCATAATCATTGTTTTTCACCTCTTCTTGCTTGTTTTGTTCGCTCCCAATTATCTTCCTTCTTCTTATCCTTTTTTTTTTCAACTTTTGCTGACAGCAACATACTCCTTGCTGCAAGCCACTATTCTTCCCTCTTCAACCTATCAAAAAACCCTTCTTCACCTATGAAGCCCAGAGACTACACATCATTGATCCTTTTTGGTGAATGGAGTGTGAGATCAGAAAGTCTAGGAATTATCTACCTCATATTGGATTTAAATCCAACATCAAGAGATTTGAATCCTCAATATCAGATGTTAGTTTAAGACTCCTATTAGGATTTCTTTAAATTGTTATGTTATCATATTAACGTAAATAGTGGCTGCCACACTACACAAGGTGTGACCACATATTCAATCATTCTTCTCTTCTTCTCTCTTACCGTCTTACAAACCTTAATACCTGCACAAATCCTAATTTTAGCAAGCCTAAGCCGACTGCATTGGCTCCTAGGTAAATTTCTCAAAGTTTACTACATCACCAATTAACATAATTGTCAATTAAGCGTGTATCTATAAAGCTCACAGAAACAAATAAAATTAAAAACAGTAAATTTGACTTCAAGCAAGAATTTAAAATAAAATGCACCACTGAAATCATGATATTTCTTTTGGATGTGAAATTGCTGAAAAACTGCCACCTTCAAATAGTTTACAACTCTCTTGAAGGTACAAGACAGACCAAACTTCCAAAAAAAGAAAAATTCAACATACATCAACACACCAGCATACAGAAAACAGAACATCAGAAAATAAAGCAACCAGAAAATAGAATATGACAGCACACCAATATCACAAAGCAATAGACTGTGGAACTCCAAGAAACAATATTTGACAATTAAGGTGATAAACAATGCAGGTCTCATAAAATTTCCAATTCACATAAAGAAGGCCAACTTGGATGCAACTCACACGACAGTAATACAAAGCCAAATTTGCCAAAAACTATTTAGACTATTCTTTCTTTGTTGTTCATTTTCTAGGAAACTAATCAACTTATAGTTAGTTAGGCATGAACAATAAGATAGCAGCAAGCAAAAATAGTTTATAGTGTAAAATGTGTTTTGGGAGGAAAACTATTGGCAACATTGTTTTTATGTACAATACAAACAAGCACCTGTCACTTCAGGGACGTTGTGCAGGGGTACTATAAAAAAAAGATTTTAAAGGCAAGGAAGAGAACCAATAATTCATGATCAGAAAAGAATGTAATGGGCTTAAGTTGCATGCAATAGACACCAAAAGCTAAGATGAACCCTCCCCTCTAGGCAGATGTATAG